GAGAGAGGGAGGAGGAGGAGGAGGGTAAGAGGAGAATGGGGCCGGGAAAGGAAAAGAGGGAGGAGCTCTGGGGTCTAACTAACCCGCAGGCCCTTCTGCAGCCTATCCTTGATGATTGTGCCCAACACGGCCATACTCCTCTCCGTCAAGATGTCCTGCGCAACCCCCACTTGTCATCCTCGCTCGTCAACAGAGATTCGGAAGCACCTCGAGCTCTGACAGCTGGTCCTGAAGGAACCTTGACATGACGAAAGGAATTGTCTCGTTCTGCCGTCGCGCGTCATTCTCACCTCCTCCTCCTCGGGCGCACAGAGACGGGAGGGAGAGAAGCATCGGGGGTGTAGTGATGGATCGGAACGAGAGAAGACAAGACAACAGTTGAGACAACAAAAAACAGACAAGAAGACGTGTACATGTTGAATTAAATCAAGACCAGAGGAGAAGGGGCAGGGGCAGGGGCATGAAAAGGAGCAGGAGCAGGAGCAGGAGCAGGAGCAGGAGCAGGAGCAGGAGCAGGAGCAGGAGCAGGAGCAGCTATCAGCAGTACGCAGCACCGCAGGCCCCACGAGCATCACCTGCAACTTAGCGATGAAATTCTTGACATCGAATGCTGGATCGTCTTTCTTGATCTCTCCCTGCCGACTCGCGTCATAAAGTTGCCGCAAACGCTTCTCACGAGCTCCCGACCATGCAGATCGAGGTCTCGCTCTCTCCGAACACCCTGCGGCAGCATGTCAGAGGCCGTTGACGGCAAGCTTCTTCCATCCATCATGCAGAGCACAGGGACTGCGTTCACAGGGCCGGAAACCGAGCCAACAGGATCACTCAGGGTACACAGTTGGGAACCTGTCTCCGAGGCGGTTCGACACTTCACTCGCCGCACTTGCGACAGCCTGCCCTCCTGCAGGCTTCATCAGGCTACCTCGTGGCCCCATCGCCCGCCCTCACCTGTCATGATCGGTCCAAGGAAGGCACTCTCGCGCAGCTTCCTGACTCTTCTTTCCCAGGCAGTCTCCTGGTAGATCGCCACATCTTTCCGCACACCATCAGCAACACGACATGAACCCAGCCATGCTCGGGCTGTACCGAAAGTCTCCTTGTCCAGTGGAACTCCTTCGACGGGCCCCTTCCCTCTTGAGTCTTCTCCCAGCGCCTGCGAACCAGGGCCCGTTTAGCAACAAGACACCGTCCCCTCCTCCTTCGACTGCTTACCTCACGGACGGACTTGCCGAGACGAGAGTCGTAGATCTTCTGCTCCAACTCCTGACTCCTCTTGTCGAGCTTCTCTTGAGCATCGATCACACTCTGTGCTGCCTTCAGCGTCGCCCGGCCTGTTCGCAAACCCATCAAGACAAAGAGGCATCGAGACTAGGAGCACACCGACTGCCTGCACTGCGGGTTGCTCGGCAACTTTCCCAATGGCTCCTCCAACCTAGAACTATGTCAGAAGACCACTCCTCTCCCTCCATCCGTCTCTGCATCGATCAACTCATTAATCCATCCCTCCTTCCCTCCATCCTCCCAGCTCCTCTTCAGGAAGTTACCGCACTGAGTCCTGCGCCGATGGTGAAACCGACTCTCTCACGGGTGGGACGTGTCTGCTGTTCGAGCTCGTCGGCTCGCTTCTTCGCCTCCTCAGCAGCCTTGTGAGCTCTTTGAATCTACAAGCAGGCAGTTAAGAAGCGACGGCAAGCATCATCATCGCATCTTACAGCAGCCTCAGCAGCGGCAAGCGCCTCTAATCTGCTCTTCTCCAATCTCTCCTGCGCTTCTTTCAAGGAAGGATCTTGAGACTCCCGCTGCTGCATTTGATCTTTGACGCTCTTCCAGAAAGTCTCGAAGAAACCCTTGCCAGCCTTGGGCACCTCTTCCTTCGTCTCCTCCTTCTCCTTCTTCTCGTTCGCAAGAACCTTCGCTGAGCAGGAGCAACCGAGTAGCCGCTGAAGGTCTTCACGCTCTTGGGGACGCTAGAAGCTCGGACCCTGTTGAACGCGGCGACCTCCGGAGAAATGCATACCCTGGAGAGACAAGAAGCCAGCCTGACACCTCGCTGCATATTGTTCTGACGGAGGATAAGAAACCTGAGGGATACGATTGGTTCAGAAGACTCGATGGAACTCATTCACAGTTGATTTCACTTCTGAGAACACGTCTCAAGATCCAGAGATGAAGTCCATCCTCACTCCTCCACCCTGTCCGAGTACTGCTATGAAATCTCTGGCAAGCATCCTGCCCCTGCCCGTCCCTGCTTCTAAATCTCCAACTGCCCCTCCAACTTTCGTCTTCATCAAAAATGTCCCGCCCCCAATCTCAAAATACTCGTTCCTTTCGCCAAGACGATCCCTCTGATTTCAGCCCGCGCAATTCAGTTTCCATACAACCTCCGCCAAGATACTATAGTGGGAGTCTAAGATGGTGATATGAGCATCAAAGCACTACATGCCGACGTTCAATCCACTCCCTCCCTGCTCCCCCTCGCTCTATCACACCTTATCCATCTCATCTGCTGTTCCCTATCATCTCAGGCCATGAAATGCGATGTCCTGGCTCTTCTTCGTCTCCTCTTCCTCTCTGTCTTCCTTCCTCCTCCTCCTCCTCCTCTCCTCTTCTCTGCTTCCTCTCCCCGCTGTCCATCTCAACACGTGCATGGTGAATCTGAAAGAAGAGCGTGTCCTTTTCATTTTCCGACATGGGGTATTTGAGCAACAAAATTGAAGATATTTTTCACATATTCCAGTAACTTTTTAAATTTAAGAATTAATTTATTGAATATTTGCAAATATTTGAGAAAGGTCTCAAAGCATGATAAATCAGATTTGAGCTCTATGCGTCCTATTTGTTGGTGCGGCTGACAGTTAACAGGGTGGGGATCTTTGCGGAGGGTGGTGTACTATTATTAAGGGGTGTAGTCAACAGGATGTGGGTAGGGGTACGTCTGTACCACATAATTCTATGTTGCAACATGGGGTGCAAAAAGGTAAAATGGGGTCAAATACTTGATACTACGGGTATGAATCTAGAAGGGCCTATCGTTGAGGGTAGGGGTACTCTCGTGGAGGGTACTCATGACAAGGGGGTGGAAGTCTTGTCAGACTTGGAAGTGAGTGGGTGGGGGTACAAAAGTACGGGTAGCAATCCCTTGTGTCCATAGGTGAAATGAAGTAAAGAAGCCGGTAGGGTGGTAAGAGCAGGGGTAGGGAACAGGTGTGAACTTGCAATGTACAGAACTGCGCGTAGGATGAGTGGAAGATGGAAGACAAGAGGAGAAGAGAAGTGGGAGAGATGAAGACAAGGACTAGGCTGAGGAGAAGGACGAAGAGGGGAGGAAGCAAAGAAAGGAACACTGAGGGAGGGGGGGAGAGGGGGGGAGAGGGCGACGATGAAGGGAAAAGGAGAGGAGCGAGACGACAGGGTAAAAGCTGGACCTAAAACGGGGTTCCCAGAGGATA